TGTTTTAATTGCAGTTTGCAAAGTCATTTTGGAATGTGTCCATCAAACAAGTGAGGTTTACAGACTCCTGATTTGGACATAGGTATGTGGTACTTTTTTGTGGTTGTCTTTAAACTGACTAAAGAACCAAAAGCAAATTTATGTAAAGCTAGAAAGGTGAAATAGAAGTAACAAAGATAAGCAATAAAATCAGTAGATACTGAGAAGCAAATTATTACAAGAATTTTTTTCAGATCACCTCAAATATTCATTAACAGAAATTTTATTCATTCATTTTGCAAGAAAGAAAGATTGACTAAAAATAATAGGAAACCCTTGGAGTTTTGGTAATCCAGTTAACAAAGAGAAATAAAACATGAGCATATTGGGAAAAGATTTAAATTACCTGCTGATTTGACACAGAAAGAAGATAACATGAAATCATAAGTAACTGTAGTAAGGAAATCTGCTGACAGCAAACAGGTTAATGATCATTGCCAACTCAGTGGTGTTGATTCAAGATTAGTCATTGACAAGGAAACTTCAAATGTGGTTCAGATATGAAAGAAACTTCATAAAGCTTTCCCCAAATTTGACAACAGCCCTAAGGACTCATCTGCTGTTGTCTATAGTAAGTTGTGAAACTGAAAGGAATTTCCTCAACTGTCAATAATAAAAGCAAATTTTGGTCAACTGCCAACTATGGAAAATAAAAATTATCTCTCTGTTCTCTTTACAGAAAAAAAAAATACAACCAACAAATGTAAGAAAAATATAATAGAGGTATGTCAGGGAGATAATAATAATCACTGTCATTTTCCCAGGTCTTGTGATATTTATAATACTTTTATATTTATATTTGTAATTGTTGCAGTTTCATTCCCCACTTACATACCTAAAATTATATATTTGATATATTTGATTTTGTTCTTTTCCTTAAAACAGGCACCTTCAAATTTTATAAGCTTTAGGTCCCATCAAACCTGTATCTGCCCTGTAGATAGATGATTTTTTTTTAAAGATTTATTTAATTTATGCATTCAAGAACTGGGATACAAGGCAGAGGTGCCAAGGATGAGAGGATTCACCAGAGACAGAGTGGGGAGCAGAATAGGCAGATGTACTGAAATACACTGTTGAGGGGAGCAGCGGGCGAGACAGGAGAGGTCTGCTGCACCATGTGGGTTGCTCCCTGGCCAGCTGAGGATTGAATTCATGCTGCAGAGGCTGCAGATAGCTTCACAGTCCTGTGTTTAACCCCTTGCGCCACCAGGGAGGCCCTGCAGATGGATCATCTTGAAGAAATAAAGCATAATTTCTGAATCCTAGTTCCCTCAGTTCCCACACGACAGACTGGGAATCATATAGGTTATTAGGTCAAGAGGCTTAAATGGGGGCCTCTCTGGTGGTGCAAGGGATTAAGATACAACCTATGAAGCTATCCACAGCCACTGCAGCACGAGTTCGATCCCTGGTTTGGGAGCTACCCACATGGCACTGCTGAACTCTCAGCAGTGTATTTCAGTCAATCTGCCTGTTCTGTTCCCCACTCTGTCCCTGGTGAATCCTCTAACCCCCACACACCTCTGGCCTGTACCCCAGTTCTTATATGCATAAGTAAATATTTTTTTAAAAAAAAATTTAAATGGGAAAATAGCGTAGAATCTGGAACATGGTGAATATTCCTGACCAGTTATCATCCATCCATCCATTTACTGCATGGTATTAAGCACCCAAATATTAAGGAATTGAGGATTCACTAGGAACAAGATGGAAAAAAGTCCCTGCCCTTAAGAAACTTTTTTTTTTTTTAAAAAAGGAAAGAAACATATGATCTAGTTGATTCCAATTATCATTGTTGTTTACTACTCCAGTTATTTGGTCTCTTTGTGTTCCTACTCCTCCTAAGAGGGTCATTGTCTCCTTACCTTGTTCAAATCAAAAGAATTAAAATTAATTTGCTTTGAAAATTATTTGCCACCCTTCAGATATGTTTTCCCCCTCTACTCCTCTTGCTCCCTGCCCCCCACCCCGGTGATATTGCAAAATCAGGGCTGGAAACTGATGACTTGATGTCCTGTAGTAGGGTAAGGTTGGCATTCACAGTTTGTGATTTAGCATTCTGAGTTGACAGTGATAGAAAGGGAGCAACTCAGCAGGAGCTGGCTCATCATAGTATTTTGAAAGATGCCTGTCTAGTACCTCTCATTTCTAACTTCCCTGGGAACCTCAGGGTAGAAGAGACCTCTTAGAAGTGGGACATATTACTTACTCACTTTTCTATGGGGCTATCTATCTTCATAAGGTTTTCTGGGGTAACCCATAATTTTAGAAATACTATTTTCTACGCTAATAGCTTCCCAAGCACAGCTTTCTAAAGCTGGAAAAGGGTCAAGAAAGAAGACAGCATACATGATTCTGCAGACCAGAGGGTTGGTTTTCCACTTGGACTCTTTGAGTCCAAGCATCTGCTGAAATTTATTTATAGGTTTACAGAAAGGGTCTTGGTTATTCTGCAGCAGAAGCCCAGTGTACTGGCTTTGGTCCAGGTTTGGAAAACTGAAATGTTTGACTCTTTGTTTTATTTTAGGAGTGTGCTATACTGGTAGAATCAAATGAGAAAGCATTGAGTTGTGAACACAGTTTTTTTAATGTATATAAATGACTTGATCAGAGACCTGATAATCATTTGGTTGCTTAATGGCATTCAGTCATTAAAATGCCAGCTCAAAAGATTTTACTTTTCTTGTGCTGTGAATCTGTTTTGATCCCTAAAATCTCAGTAATAGATTGTGATTTCTGTATGCCTCATTTTGAACAACCCCGTATACAGACTGCGCTAAATTCTAGGAATCAGCAGGGTGCCTGGAACTTAGTAGGTGCCCAATAACTGTTACTTGAGTAAGTGAATGAATGATGAATAAATGACCATACACGTTTACAGCATTTTCTAGATGGAGAAGGAGGCCTTCTTTACCAAAATAAATTCATATGGTATTCATTTAAGGCATGCTACAGGAGACTCTATTAAACAAAATTTTCTTCAAAAATAAATATTTTGAGAATAAACCCTTTTTAGCATTGATAGAAAATAAAGTGCTTGCAACTCTAGATTTATTTCTCAAAATTGGAAACATTTAAATATGTGTAACTGAGTTGTTTGTTAGGAGTCAGTATGGGCCATGACTTAGCCCCTGAGATTGAAGGCAAAGAGCCTAGGCTTTAAACCCAGCTTTGACCCAGGCTGGCTCCGTGGTCTTGGCTCAGTCACCTAAGTGCTCTGAGTTTTCTCATCTATACAATGGGAAGAATGATAATTATTTCATAAGGTTGTCAAGAGGAGTGAATGAGATAATGTTTGCACAAACTGAGTGCTCAGCAGAAATTTCTCCCCCTCCTCCTCTTTCCTGCTTTTCCCCCCTGCTGCTAACTAACCTGGGCATTGGTAATTTCTCCTGCTCACTTCCTCAGATGATCTCTCCTGGGAGCAAGTTAGAGTCTGGGGAAGCTTTCTGAGGGTTGCTCTTCAGGTCTCCCCAACTCTGTACTAACATTTGTATATAGCCTTTGAGTGTTTAGAGAAGAAACATACAGATTTCTGTCCCCCAGTTTCACAAAAGAGACCAGTACTTGAATGTTTGCTTGTTTAATTAGTGGCCATCTCTGTCCTAACCCTACCATTCTTCTCCCCCTAAACCCCCAATTCGGATGGCACCAGCAGTCTAAGTCCTCTGGGATTTCTCCGTGTTCCTTTTTCTTTTGAAATGCAAACCTACTTTTATTTTCCTTCTCAGAGATTTTATTGGATAAGAAATTGACATTGAAGATAGTTTCCTAAGGGGTTGGGCCTTGAAAGTGAATGACATTTTAGAAGTTATTAGCGATACAGAGAAATCCAGCAAAACTTGCCCTTCCGGAGAGTGCCCACAACTCTGTAAAACAGCCTGTTCTCCATGACGATCCAAGGTCAAGCTCATCCATGGTGGTGGCTCGATTTTGCTCATTTTGTACATTATTTATGTAACATGCGGGTTGTGAGGGAGTGTGGATGTAGATGATTCATAGGCACAAGCAGTTGGAAACAGATTGCAGAAGCCTAGCTCCTTTACTTGGTTGTTCTCCCCCCCACCCCCAAGCTGCTTCATATGCTACTTCCTACATGCCCTGCAGTGGCCACTCAGGCTAAATACAGTCCTTACCCTGCTCCCACCCCCGCACCTATGGAGCTGGGGGCACACTGCTTTAGAGACATTGAACCTACAAAAGGTTCTGAAGATGTCATTCTCATTAAAAAAAAACAAAAAAAAAAAACCACACTCAAAACAACCTAAACCCTAAAGTAACATAAGGAATTCTGAAAGTTATGATGACTACTTCAATGACTATTTTTTGAAATATCAAATTGTTTAAAAAAATTTTCTCATTTTTGTTTTGCTGCTCTGCTTTTCTAGGCTATGCCTGGTACCTGTGCTTAACTTACATTCTGGGCAGACTGCTGACTGGTAGGCAGGCTATTTTTTTGTAACTAAACTGTAAAGGCGCTTCTTTTCAACTCATAAAAAGTTTTGTCCTGCCTGGGAGATCTGCCTTCAGGTAACATTCAACATTGTCTAATGCATCGGGAAGAGCACAGACAGTAGAGTTAGAAAGGCTTGTACAGACAACTCATTAGTTCAGTGCATCAGTTATCTATTACCAAAATAATGCAATGGAACAACTCCTACCTCTGTGGCATACAAAGCTTCAGGGTGGCCAGCTAGTCTGCTCTGTTGATCACTGAGCTTATGCACATATCAGGGGCTAGGTGATCACTGGGCTAGGATGCCCTAGGGGGCTATGGAGGTATTTTGATGCTGCACTGCATGTCCCCCATCCTATAGCTGCCTTGCCTGGCATACTCTCCTGGCAGACAGACCAAGAGTGAGAACAGGCCCAGTCACATAACCACTTTTCAGACCTCTGATTATGTCAGATTTGCTGACATCACATTGGTCAAAGTATGTCACATGGCTGAACCCAGATCTGGAGTGGATGGATACTGCAAAGTTAGAAACAGGGAGAGGTAAAGAACTGGGGTCATTTTTCTAGTTTACTACACTGTGTGACCTGGGAAAGTTAACTGAGCCCAGCTCCCCCCTTTTCTTGAAATACAATATATGATCCCTAGCCATTAAGCCTGTGTGACGATGCAGTGAGGGAATTTGGTTGAATGGTTAAATGGGTGCGATTCATGGCTATTTAAACATACAAAAACACTGTGAAACTGGCATTAACCATGTTTCAGGTAAAGGTTTGTAAATGCTTATCCCTGACAGATCTGTTTCTCCAATAACAGATCAGATACTGTATTAGTCAAGGTTCTCTGGAGAAATAGCATCAACAGGGTTTGTATAACTAGCTACCTACCTACCTACTTATCTATAGGTATGTATGTAGAAGAGAGAGAAAAGGGTGAGGGAGGATTTGGTTCAGTTGACTGGAGGTTTTTAAGGATTTGGTTCAGTTGACTGGAGGCTTGGCAGGTCCAAAACTGAGGTGGGTAGGCTGGCAGGAGATACAGGGAAGAGTTGCAGTTTAAGTTAAAAGGCAATCTGCTGGCAGAGTTAGATTTTGCTTAGTGGAAGTCTGTCTTGGTTCTGTTAAGACCTTCAACTGATTGGATGTGGCTCACCCACATTATGGAATGCAGTTTGCTTTACTCAAAGCAAAGTCCCTGGATTTAAATGTTAATCTCATCTAAGAAGCACTTAAAATAATCTTTGACCTAATAGCTGAGCACCTTGGCCCAGCTAAGTTGAAATATCACATGTACTATAGGTGTGGGTTTATAATTAATTATGAATTCAGTGAATATGTAATGAGTGTGTGCCTGAAATTGTTTTTGTCCATTGCAGTATAGCAGCTAATAAGCTATTAACCCTGTCAATTTAGTTAGTGATATTTAAGCAGGTTAAGTCAACCAAGCATGCCAGATGCTGTGAGAACATACATTTGTGGGGTGTGCTTATATACCGAACAAATCTATGCATATATCTCAATTAATATGTGCATCATCTCATTTAATCCACATAACAAAACTGACAGGCAGACACTGTTGTTCTTATATACATGAGAAAAATGAGCTTTGGAGAGATTAAGTGGTATGAAGGCCATAAAGCAAGTAAGTGCAAAGCCCAGATTGAGTTCATATCTCCCTGATGCCCAAGTCTAGGCAGTTGGTGGCTTCACTACCCTATTCATGCCCTCACGATGTGACTTCTCACAGATACCAGTGCGGAGGAGGAACAGGGGTGGTGGGAGACTGAGGTCAGGAGAGGTTGGGGAGAGCTCTGCTGCTCTCTGTAAGACACACATGCCCTCTCACTCCTCCCTGCTGCTTGTGTTGCCACTTCCTGAGCCTCTGGGATGTGGGCTGCAACAGGCCACCAGCCTTATCCTGGAGTCTGCAAGTCCATCTTGGGAAACAACCTTCTCAGCATCCTCATCTTTTAAAGGGACAAGTGAGCATGTGTCTGCGTGTAGGTAGGAAGAGGGAGGATTTGAGTCCTTTCCAGGAAAGCCACCAGTTCTTCCATTCTGCTCAGGGATGTGCTCTGGGTGAGTGTGTGTACAGACATACATATGTAATATTTTCAGACTTTATCTACTTCCAAACTGCTCACAGCAGGGCTGCAGATGGGACTATATGCTAATGGACGTGGGGGAAGCAAGCTCCCCACGTAAGGATTGCTCCTATGTATGTTGAGAGCAAACTATTTGATAAGGGGTTTCTCTCCCTAGCACTTAGCTTTGCACTGTATGTGACTATGCCCACATTAACCATTGGCCTGGTATATATTGGCCTAAAGCCTGACCTGACCCACAGATGAAGAACCTGTGGAGGCGGGGGCTAAGGGGGCGCTTTATGTAAGTGATTTTTAGACAGATGGAGGACTCATTTTAATTGCGTAAGAAGCAGTCTTTCTTGAGTAGAGATGAGATCTTTTCTGCAAACCTGTGCTAGACAAATCTATGCTGCTGCTACTGCTGTTACTTTTCTAAATGCCCCTCTATTTCCATGATAATTGCTCATCAGTGTGTGGAGTTATATCTGGGACATTTGCTGCTTATACAGAGGCTCAGCAGTTCTCAGAATACCCCCTCCCCACAATCAGGGCAAGTTCACTCCAGTTCTGGTGATACTTCCTGTGGAGCCAGGCTGTAGCTGAAACAAACCGTTTTGAGTATTGATGGTGGGTGCTCACGTTCACAACATGGGGCAGTGGGAAGATTGAAGGAAACAAGTTCTGCACAGCGGTTTTCAAGCCATGTGCCCAAGGATGGTCCACCTTCAGAAAACCCACCGAGCTCTTGTCCTTGCCTAGTTAGAGTTTATCACCGAGACAGTCTTCAAGTTCTTTCAAAAGAAGCATCTTGAGACTCGAGGACCCTGGTTTCCCCCACCTCTGTCTTTAGGGCTTATTGTTGGAATCACCTTTAGTGGCCCTTAGCTCAGGGAGTTAGCAGGAAAAGAGGCTGACATCCTAAATATGTGTGGGCTAAATATTCTATGTATAACAAGAAAAACACCAGTTTGAATTATGTATTTCCTATGTAGCTATACTTAAGGTGAAACTACTTGCCCTGACTGGTTATTTTATCAGCAACAAGTGAGTAAAGCCTGATCTTTTCCAGCAGGAAGCAGCTTCTGCAAACTCACAGCTCTGTAGCATGAGATTTTCCCAAAGAACAAAGAGATTTGATCTACGTTGGCCCAAGCTAGTTCTATGCTGGGTGGAAGGGGGTGCGCCTCAGGTATGGGTTTTTGTAGGTACTGTGCCAATTCTGTAATCCTACATAGCCAGTGTTCTTCATAGAGAGACACGCAATAAATGTCTGTAGATGGGTGGAATGATGACACCAAGACCAGACAGAATAGAGGCTTCCTCCACTAAAATCATCCTTACCAACTGTAAACAATAGTGTGTATGAAACCAAGATCTTGTGCAGGACAACTGTTAATAGGGAACGAGTAACACAGAGTTTCTGGGCCTTTGTCACAGGCTCTCCACACTGCTAGTCATAGAGATTTGAAGAATCAGTGATGTCCTTATTTGACCTGTCCATCTTCATCAGCTTATTTCTTCCTTGGAACTTTGGCCTTCTCTCAGTAGCACATTGTTTCTCTCTGTGCCTTTGAGTGTGTCGCTGTCACCATAGCCTGGGATGCCCCCCAGGCATGTGGTGGTGGCATCTGGCCTCAGCACAGGGCTCAGGCTTTTGTATACACTGTTTAGGGCAGAGGTGGGCCCTTGAACTCTGTAGCCAGCCTGCCTGGATTTCCAGTGCTGGGGCTGCCCCTGATTACTTGTGACCTTGGCAAGTTGCCCAAGTGACCTAATAGTACAGGACTTCCATTTTTCATTTGGAAAACCAGGATTATAATAATAGCTCCTAAGTTAGAGGGCTTTTTTAAGAATTGGCTTGGTGAGTACATAGAACATGCAGAGCCTGGAACCCAGCACCTGGTATTGGCCATCAGCCACCACCTCTCTTGAGCGTCCCGTCTCTTATGTAACCCTGTCAGAGTTTTCTCCTTTGTCTATCTCCACTACTTTGTTCTTGTATCTTTCTACCTCAGCAGTTGGGAAAGACCTGCTTCCTTATTTAACAACTTAGGGACTCTAGTACCTACTCAAATGTGTTCAAAAACTTCTTAGCAGAATTCCAGACTTTCCATTTGCCAGATCGACCATTTTAACAACCTGGTTTTCTCCTATTTCCTGTTCAAAATCTGGTGTTCCTCCCTAATATGCGTACTTCCGTTGTTCCTAAGACAGTGCTCGCTCCCCTCCCCTCCTCGCTCTTGGTGGCCCTGTCCTTCCCCTACCTCTGCCTGCCCAGATTTCTGCACATGGGGTGGGGGTAAAGAGAAGAGCAGCAGCCTGCAGGCCAGTATTGACTTTCCTTGACCTATAGGTCTCTAATGCTCTTGGCTTCATTCTGGAGGTCAGAAAGACAGTGCAGCCTTGGATCATATTCCAAGTTACACTGTACCTTGTAGCAACTGAAACCTTTGTATCTTATAAAAGGTAATGTACCCAAAGTGCGTTGATTTGCTTGTCTCCTTGTGTCATTGGTTTTATTATACCGAATTTAGTTACTTCGAAGGCCAGCATCCATTCTCTTGAGGGATTTTAAGTTAGAGAAGTTAGCTGCTTATGCTATAGACAGGGTCACTGCATCTTTTGTCCCTGAATATGTATGGTATTTTAAATCACCATTTAATGATTCATTTGAAGCAGAAATTTCTTATCATACATTAACTGAAAAATACCAGAATGTAAAACTGCATCTATAATATTATTATGACTGTATGAATCATGTGGAGCAGAACTAGAAGAAATTTTGGGCAAATGAAAATAGTTTGATTTGCTGGGGAATTGGGATTAGAAACAACCTTTTCTTCTTTTTACTATTGTGTTTTTTTCTTTTATTAATTTAAATTTTTTTTTTACATTATTGTTTACTTTTGTACAGAATTTGATTTGTTCCCTCAGGTGTAGTCCCTGTATATGTCCCACCAACACATCACTTGTGAACCATAACCATGGTCCCTTGTGCGCGTCCCAATCCTGTTTTTATCCCTTTTCCTCCCCCTTCCTTGATTTAAGTCTCAGATATATAGTTGCCTGTAAGTTTTGTCTTTTTTAAACATTGATCTGTTTTATTTATTTATTTATTTATTTATTTATTTATTTATTTGCATAGGAGAACTGGGGCCAGAGGTGGAGGGAGTGAGAAGATGCATCAGAGACTGTTAGAGCAGAACAGGCAGGTGAGATAAGAGAGGTATGGTGCGCCATATGTGGGTTAGCTCCTTGGCTTGGGATAGAACTCAGTCCCTCAGGCCATATTGGTGATAGTGGCTGAGACTGAGCCCTAAGCCACCAGGAAGGCTCCCCTTTACTATTGTTTTGTTAATGTTTCTGTTACTATACAAAATAAAACTACTAATGTTAATAACTAAAAACAAACAGAAGTCAAAATAAAAAATGTTAATAGCTACTACCATTTGTGATATTAATATGTTAATTGCCATATTAAGAGTCACCAAGCTCTGCACTATCTCATTTAATCTCCTAGCATACCTGTGAGGTAGGAATGCTTATCCTTGTGAGAGAGTAAAGCAGTTTCCCAAAGTGGCATAGCCCCTAAGGGAGCAGCCTTCCACACCATGGTTCTTTTAACTTGAAACCTGACTACTTATTCTTATCAAAACAAAACCAAGCAACTTTTCATGAATCAATAAAACTAGCTTATTATGGACAAATTACAGACTACTGAAAAGGAAACCTTTTAAAATCAGTGGACTGAGACTACCTGGGGAGTTCCATTGTTGACCTGTTGGACATACCTTCCAGGGCATTTCTCAGGGATGCCACCGTGGGCCTCTGTGAATCTCTCACTAGGAACTTTTAATGTGTTTTCCTTCTCTGGGGACTGGAGGAAGAGGTGAAATATTTCTTTTTAAACATTAAGACTTCAGGATAGTCTTGAGACCAGAGCCTAGAAGAATCATAAAACTATTACAAAATTTCCCCTTTTGAAATCTAAGAGACGAATGACTGAGGAATGGAGTTTGGGATGGAGTGAGTTGATTGGAGGGTAAAATACAACTTTGTGCCCACATGACTATTCTCCCTCTCATGGTTCCACGGTTTGGGGAGTAGATCTATTCCAGGAATACTTGCAAATCCACTTCACTTCATCCTAATACTTTCGTAAAATTAGAAAGGTTTAGGCAGCGTCATGGTTTTCCTATAGTGTTAGTGCCATCAGGAGATAAAACCAGACGCTCCTAATATTTTTATTTGATTAAAATATTTAATATCTTCCACACAGTTTGGGTTTATTTAAAAAGAACTTCCTTTTTTTTTTTTAAAGATTTATTTATTTATTTATACAAGTACTGGGTATAGTCAGAAGCTTGAGAGGGTATGAGGATTCACCAGAGCCAGAGTGGGGAACAGAACAGGCTGACCGACAAAGTACACTGCTGAGGGGAGCAGCAAGGGTGGCAGGAGAGGTCTGCGCACCATGTGGGACCCTTGACAGCGGCCGGGGATCGAACCGGCGCTGCAGAGGCCGCATGCAGCTTTGCAGCCCAGCGCTCAACCGCTGCGCCACCGGGGAGGCCCCCCCCCCAAAAAAAAAACCAACAAACTTTCTTTATTTGCTTAGTAGACGATTGTAATCTTCATTGCACATTTAGTTCTTTCATACTGATAAATTTATGAGGAATTTCTATGATATGACTGCAACTGAGCTGATAGAGATTTATTGCTTATTCATTCATTTATTCATTTACTTATTAATTCATCTAGTAAATATTTATTGAAAAACAGCCACAGAAAATCCCTCCTTGTGCATTTGTTATGAAATTATACTCAAGGGCACTGCCTATTATGTATATAAATGCTCTATGTAAGAAGTCTATGAGAAAAGTTTCTTTTAGCATTAAGTTCTAGAAAGACACTTTAGCACACTTGAATTATACCAGTGTTTCTCCTTTCTGATAATAGCCATTTAATTGTTGAGTTTCCTGTTTTGTTTTGGTTGCCAGGAAGTCCAAATACTCTTGATGTTTAATCACAGGTCTAATATTAACATCATGGTTGGTATATTTATACCTTTCTCCTTTTTTGACCTTGATTTTCTGCTTTACTATCCTTAATAGATATCTGTTCCTTTCACAGCCCACTTCAATTCTTTTGGAAAAAGGTGCCATATATCAAGGCACTTGCTGAACATTCTCATCAAGTATCTGTTAGTTGGAACTGGATAGAAGTGATCATCTTCATTCATTCTTCATGAACGAATGAAGTGCACTCAATTGTATACTTTAAAATAGTTAATTTTATGTTATTTCAGTTAAAAAAATGGCTGTTGTGGAAGGAAGAATATCAGTGACCAACTGCCTTTGATGACGATAAGGATGATGGTGATGACTAGGCTTTTGTCAAAGACAGAGTGTTTTCCATGATGGCCAGTGGGAACCAAGGGAAAGTCATCCAGAGAATCTGCCTCATTGCTTTAGAAGAGCAATAATTAACACTGGCATGTATACAAGGCAGTTGCACAGCTGGCTTTGAGAGTGAGAACTCTTCCCTATCTCCAGCCCCTCTCTCGTCATCTTTAAAAAATGAAACCAAAAACAAAGCAGCTTACATAAACAGAACTGTTCATTGTGGGAAAATCACAAGCTAATAATAATAAATAAAATATAAATAAATAAATAAATAAAAATCACAAGCTGATAATAATAAATCCTTAAAAGTCACCCATGTTTCTTATAGCCATGTTAATTCACATGTTGTTTTTATGTACCTTCTAGACTTCTATTTTGATCCACTGATACTTGAATCCTGTCATCTGTCTTTTCCAAGATGTGGTCATACAACACCAGTCTCATGATTAAGTATGTTTAAACAGTGGGTTGTCTTAGCACCCCTCTTGGAGATTCTTTATATATATATATATATATATGCATATTTACAGATTTGAGAAATTTAGGGGAAAAAACTCATTTTGTTGTGATTAATCTAGAATTTTCCCAATGTACTGGAGCATGGAATCTTTTTTTTTGTATAATTGAAAAAAACTATTACAATATTACGTGGAGACCAAGGAAGCTGAGAAGCACTGATCCTAATCCTTATTCATGTTTTACATAGATAGCTGTAATAGTAAAACTGCCTGAACTGAGTCTGTAAATTATCTCTACGCGTCAATCCCATACTCTGAACTAAAACATAATTTCAAATGGCCACATAGCATTTTATTATATGCACATTGAAGACTGCAGTCTTCTACTAAGCAAATCTATACTCAATATTCTATAGCTGGGAGTTTGGATTTTCCCCATGTTTGTCTCTCGTAATGGACATTATTATTGCTAACTGGTGTCTACACCGTAAAACATCCCATCATATGACGTTTGGTTTGTACAGATTCTCCATGGCTGTCTTTTTTTTTTCACCTCTAGTTTAAGGGGCCTGTTCATCAGGAGTACTTTGAAGAGAAAGGTCAAACAGGAAGAGTAGAAGGGTAAAAGGAGAATAGTTTTGCTGCTGAATTGTGATTAAAAGTTTTTTAACTTTGTATGTTTGTGGCCAGAATTCTGGCCTAGCTCTTGGCTGTTCCAGGAGTGGCCTGGCATTCTCAGACTGCTGGGTTTATACTCTCTGGGGTTTTAGATCTGAACCTTGAGCAAGGGTTAGGAAGCTCATGGTATATGGGAACCATTTGAGAGTGGTGTGGAATCAATGTTCTGTGAGCTCTTATCTCATTCTGAATGTAGGGGATAAGCACTATGGGTGAATGGAGGGGTTCCATATGATGCAGGAGATGATTTTGGGGCAGCCTTCTGTAAGCATGGATCATGTGATGAAAGCCATTTCCTTTCACTTAATGTTCAGTCCTCTTGACATTTTTTTTTTAACAGCTAGAAAATGAATTTTATTTTATTTTTTTTAAATAATAAATTTTATTTTTATATTCCCCATACAATTGCAGCATTTTAAGGAATGATTCTCAGTTTGGTGTGGGGATATCCTTAACACCTACATTTTCTAACTTCCCTTTTTTGACGAAAAGAGAACTGACCTCAGAGTCCTAACAGGTTAAAACTTAGTGCCTCTTTTTTTTTTTCTCATTGCATTTTTTTTTTTTAATCAAGTTGCCTCGTGGTTATGGCCAGAAATCCTGTTAGTACTAAGGTTTCTTTAATAAAGCAAAGAAGGTAGAAAAAACAATTAGATAATAAGAAAAATTATAAGTAAATAAGAGCATGAGTGATATTCAGATATGACAAAACATCATGACATCATGTATATATGAAAAACTGAAATTTTGGGGGGGAAAGTGAGTTAACCAGAACTCATGGTCATTGACCATTATAAGTTTTTATAACTGTACCTTTGTGTGATTATCATTCATGGATCCATTTTGGGTCCTTCGTCTTGTTTTCTTTTTTCTTTTTCATCTGCTTTCAGCTGCCTGGGGGAGCCAAGGAATCCTTCACACAGTAGGGATATTTAATTGGGTCTTAAAAGACGAGTGAACTTTTGCCACATAATTGAGAGGGGGTATAGAGACCCCTAAGGGTGGCTGATCCAGCTTGAGGTCATAGTCAGTCTTTCCTCCCATCATAAGTACAATTGCTTATAATGGGAAGAAATAACTTGTGGAGCCAATAAATATAGACGAATTCATTGAAAAACAGTTTGGCCAATGAAACTATCTGAGAATTGGACATATATTTCTCTTTTCCCCTCTGGTAGCTAGGACAGCAAATAGCCCTAACAGAGATCAGCAGATAACAGCAATAAAAGCTAAAACCCATGCACAAGACTGAGGGGGAGATGTCAGTTTTGAGAAAGGAAAGAGAAAGGACTGGAAGTGGAGCAGAGCAAAGAAATGTAGGTTTAAACCTATGAGGCACAGGTGAGATTTTTATATTAAGCAAGTGAAAGACTACAGGGGGAAAAGCAGGCTGACTTTATTTTTTTATATGACAGAATCAATAGAATCTAATCAAGTTTTGAATGCAATCAGAGTAAGATGAGAAATACCAAGTAGGTCCTTGTAGGCAGTAACTAGAACATAATCGTGTCTGGAAGGGATTACAAGAGTGATGCTCCACATTTGTCTCCAAATCCCGTTGGCAAGGGAGACTCTGAAATTAAGGGAGGGTGACATGGCTGCAGGTTCGCATCTACAGAGTTTTAATGTCCTGTTTTATGTTGATTTTTTTTCTTCTCTGTAGAGCTCCCC